CCCCCGCTCCCAAACCCACCTTTTTTATCACATGCCTATTCAAGACGGTGGCTCTTGTCCCTGAGAGGAGCCACACCAGAGAGCTTTGTAGATGGCAATCGCGTGAGGAACCAGTGAGAAATAGTTAAACAGAAAATATATTTTATGGAGTGCCACAGGCATGCATCTAAGCATTAAGCAGACCTTTTGAAGGGTCCAGGAATATAGAAATATGAAATTGTAAGCCCAAACACATTTTGGGAAAAAAAAATAAAGCTGGCAGCCACTGTGTACAAAGGTAAACTTTTAACAGTTGCCTCCTGCCTCCCAGTTTCCCAGCTAGGCAGGTAAGGCAGACGAAGGTTAACTGTTGCCTCTATGGGACCCTCTGTGTAGTATTCCCTTAATTTTCAACTGCCCTCCCCTGACTCTACTCTCTGCCTTGCATTCTTTCAGGGTCAGCAAAAAGCAGCTATGTTAGCTGCAGGCTTTTGCAAACACCCGGAAGTTAACATGCTAACTAACATCCTGTAACCAAAAGCTGTAAAACTTAAAATGTAATGTGACTTTAAGCCCAATCTCAAGGTTGTAAAAGCTCTTTGACTCACCTGGCGCTTGATTTCACTATAAGAGGAGCCCCCAAAACCAGCCCCCATTGCTATAGTTTCAGAAGCCCAAACACTGGCTGTGGTCCCCGTTAACTGGTAAGCTCTTTGTGCCTTGTGATTTTTTTTTCTTTCTTCCTTTTTTCTTTTTGTTTTGGAATAAAGTGTTTTTCTGGTTTCATAGACTTAGGCAGTCCCTCATTTGCGCGCCCCTGGGCTCAACACTTTTACTCACCATTAGTCTTCCATCTGAGACATATGACGTCTAGGATGTGAACACAGCATTCAGAAATGAATCTATATATGTCCTTATGTTCCACCTTAGGCCCAGGCAGGTGCCGTATGCATGCTGTGGGAGTTTATCAGGCCACACTGTTCTATAGTTCTCAGATGCACTTTGAGCAAAATTATAAAGCATCTTTTGAATATTTATGATCACTCACCTGTATCAGAAAAAATATTTCGTTAGAAGAAAATCATTCTGCCTATGCACAACCTGACCAAACTGTTTTTGTTTCGTTTTCTTTCGTTTCTCAGGGTTTGTTGACATTCAGTGCTGCGACTGTCGATTTCTTGTAGGAGGGGTGGGAATGCCTCGACCCTGCTCACAGGGCTTTTTGCAGAGATCTCCTGTTGGGGAACTGCAGCAGTCTGGATTCTGAGGGTAAGAATCGTTTTCTTGCAGTCTTCCTTACTCCTGCTCAAGATTCCTTAGAAAACCGCTCTGCACGTGTGTGAGTGAGTGGTGTGTGAATTAGCCTCCCATCTCACAGAGTAAAGTGGAATCCTCAGAGAAAGGGACATTTTTCTTGATGTTTTCTCTTTCCTTCGTGTTTATCCTTTTGGCAGGTGTTAACATCTTTAGTTTTTGCTCCTTTCAAAGTTCCAGGTGCTTTCTGAAGAATCTCGCCTATGCAGTCAATCTCACGAGGTCAGTCAGTTCTGCTCACCTGTGGAGCAGAACAGAGAGCCCTGGATGGTGAAGAGAGATCAGACAGTACCAAAGGATCCAGATATGCTAGAGGGACTGAGGCCTATCTGGGTAGGGAGGGGCTCAAATAATGGTAGAAACAGCACATGAAATTGGTTTTGCCACATTCTACATCCTCTAAGTGATTCTAGAGAATTTCACTGAGAACAATCTCAAGATTGTCCTATTGTAGGTGTTTGAAGTCTGTGTGTGTGTAATGAATACTCAGAGGCAAATAAAATTTATTTGACTTTGCATGGGAGTGATGTTGGCTGTCTTCCGTTCCCATCTCTGGCTGTGTTTTTATGCCTCTAGTAAGTGGTTTCATTACTATGATTTTAATACACTGTTTAGTTAGAACCATTTAAGCTTCTTGGTTGGTCCTGTACACTGGGTTTTGGGAGCATCTGTGTCTTTTAGGGTTAACTTCTCTAGTTTCTAAAGTAATGCCAGCAGAGTTTTGATAAGATATGCTTACTATCTCTGCCGTGAATTAAGTTCCTTCCATTTACATTGTCTTCCCTTTGATAACCCGTTGTCTTCAACATTCCATTGTTTGTGTCACTACAATTTTTATAGATTTTTTAAATTGCTTCTGGATTCGATCTCTCTCTCTCTCTCTCTCTCTCTCTCTCTCTCTCTCTCTCTTGGTTTTTCGATACAGGGTTTCTCTGTGTAGCTTTGGAGCCTATCCTGGCACTTGATCTGTACATCAGGCTGGCCTCAAACTCACAGAGATCCTCCTGCCTCTGTCTCCTGAGGGCTTGGATTAAAGGTGTGAGCCTCCAACACCCGGCTCGATCCTTCTCTCACTATTTTTAAATTTTTGTGTGGTTACTCACAATTTTGTAAGTCTTAGTAATTATAGAAAAAAAACTGCATGTAAGATCTTGGCACAAATTATTTAGAATCGTTACAGAACATGAACATGGTCTTGTATTTCTTCACATGTTTGAATGTAAGCATGCTATCAGTGAGCCAGTGCTCACATACTCGTTTTGTATTCTCTGTTCTATCAGTTGTTGACGTCAGTATTCTGGATTCTTAGAGAAGACACTTTTTAAACGTTTGTCTTTACTAGGTTTGAAGACTTGTTCTATTTTTAAGACATGGCCACCCTGGAGCATGCTTATTGTAGTTTGAGAAGACTGGGTGTGTTCTGATGTTAAGTGGATGAATCTCTGGAGGGTTGCTAGGCATGATTGGTTTTCTATGCTTTTAGTGGTCATCTTGCTCAATGGTGGACATCACAGTTTCCCTGTATCCTTACCTGTTTGCTTCCTACAATTTATTTCATTTATTTGGAAACTTGTAAAACACATTCATGGGAATGCACCATTTTGTTCATTTATTAGTATTCTTTGTTTTGTATATTTATACATTCAGCTTTTCCTGTTACCTAGTGTAATCTCGACCAACCCTCTTAACAGAAAATCTTTAAAAAGTCCTTTTGTATCCTATGGTTAAAGTGCTTTGTATCCTTATGTTTTGTATCCTTATCTATTCTGGGTGTTAGCCTATCATACCATGAAATTTTATAAAATATATTTTATCTAATAAATAATATATGTAATTTTATATCACAAATAATATATGTAATACAAAATCTAATAAATTTTATCTACTCAAAGTGCTATTTCTTCATACTTTTGATTTTTATATTTTCTGTGTATTCTTGAGGGGGGTGGTTTGAGACAGGGTTTCTCTGTGGCTTTTGGAGAGTGTCCTGTTAATTGCTCTGTAGACCAGACTGGCCTGAAATTCACAGAGATAGGCCCATCTCTGTCTCCCGAGTCTGGGATTAAAGGTGGGGATCACCACCACCAGGTCTCTGTGTATGTTTTAATTGAACATACGTGTATTTTCAGTTTACTCTTCCAGCAGAGATGGCCAGTGATTCACTGGATAGTGGGGAAAATAAACCCAGATTCATATCTTTTGTCTGCATGGATCCTTTTCCCAACTGTTGAGTTACAGTTGACACAGCTGCCTGTTACTCAACACCCCTGTGATAGTGTGATGACATTTCCATGGTCACTGCTGTTGTTCTGTTTCTGGATCTGGTGCTCCAGTGCATAGAGTTGTATGTCTACTCTTCAGACACGCCCATTTTCTGGTGGTTGTGTGGCACTGTAGTGTCATCTGGAGTCACTTCAGGGATAACTCAAACTCTGTGTACCTCTGTGTACCTGAGGATGCTCTGTATATTCAGATTTTTGTGGTTCCATGGAACCACTGTAACCACATTCCTCTTACTGAGTTCAGCTGTGTTCCATTCTTCCTGTTTCCTATAGAAGTTTATCATAAAATTGCTTGAAGTTTGTCCTATAGATAACTCTTTCTATTGGGATTTTCATATCATGGGGCTTTTATTCATGATTTGTTTTCTAATATTTTTGTGGGTAAGATTGGGGGTAGTAATTTACTTCCTTCTAGTTAGAAATGGTAGTTTGCCGTTTTGTGTGTTGAAAATAATCCTGCGTTCCCCAGCTCTCCTATTCATATGTTCATTTTGTAAAGTGCCTTATTTCCTGGGTGTCAGGGCTAATTTTCTCTGATTTTTCTATGTAAATTTTGCCTCAAGTTATCATCTGCAGTGCAGCTTGAGTGGATGACATTTGTCATTTTCTAACCTTCTGCATATGCCCTTCCTTCTCCATGAATTTTATGCATGTTTCTGGGTGCAATGATAAGGTTCATAGTCATCTTCTTTCACCACTGTAAATGTATCCTTCCACATTCTCTTCTCTGTACAAATGCTGACGAGATTTCTGATATCATTATTTGGGGGGGGGGATTCTTTTGTGTGGTTTGGCACTGACCATGAGAGAATTGTATTATTTTTAGATTTATATTTTTGACAACATGATGTGAAATTTTAACAAGCCCTCCAGTCTTTGTTCCTGAGAGAGAAACTCAGAAAAGAGCAAGAACAATGGATGCTTCTGTGTCAAATGCTCCCCAGGTCAGTGTCATGTTCACATTTCTCTGAAAATCATTGTTATTTTGTTGTTGTTGTTGTTGTTGTTGAAACCATTCAAGACATTAATTTTCTACCACTGGCAACAGTAGTTTTGAAAGTATTTATTTTTGCCTTTCTTAGGGGATATTTCTTTTCTTATATTTCAGGATTTTGACTTTAAATATTTCAGCTATAAAGCAGAGACTTGTCCTGTTATATGTTCACTCGATTTTATACTGTGAGGCAATGAATTTCCAGGGACTTTAGACTTGAATTTCTAAACCAGAAGCTATTGTAAATGACACTCAAGAAATATATTGATGGCCATTTTCTACATGGAATGGACTTGTGTCCTTTTATGTTAGGGAGGAAGGAAGGTCTCATGTGCTACGTAGTTGTATTTCTGGAATGGTCAATTTTCCAGAAACAGGTTTATGAGCATGAATGTGCTAATACATGGACCTTTTCACCGTCATCCGTGAGCAATTTATAGAAAAGTAGAATTAGAAAAGACTCACTGTCTTGACCCCTAATGGAAAAGATTTTAGCATCCTAGAGAACACAGATGATGGAAGCAGTATGTGGCTTCTTCCTCCTGCCAGAAAGTTGCTGTGTCTGTGAGGACATGAAGGCTGCAGTATTCTGGTTTCTCTTTTTGCCATATTGTGTCACACAGTGATGAGGGGTGTGTTGACACTGGAAATGTACTTCTCTCGGGAGAGATTCTGCTCAAAGTTCAGTGGTTAGCTCTCTTAAGAAAATTCATATTTTCTTTATATCTTTTGTTTCGTTTTTTCAGAAGAGGCGTATGCTGTCTCCACTGTTGTTTAACATTATGTGGAATAGAATAGTAAGAATTTTCTAGAGAGTACTGAGTTGGTGCTGCACATAAGCCACCAACTTTCAAGCATAAATGCATGCCCCTCTTACTCTCTTTTCTTTTGGAGAAAGAAGGCTCTCCAACCTATGTGTTTCTGCTCCCTGAAGGTCCTAAGGAGTTGTGTCAATATTTCTATTTCTTTCTTTACAATAATATTTTAAGTACATGAGGGTTTGTCTGCATATTCTTATCTACACTGGACGATGAATTATGCCCCTGGATCCCTGAGGTCAGCACCAAACCCTTGGCACTAAACTCAGGCACTGGGATTACTTTCCATGTGTTTAGAGAGAATTACATTAGGTTTTTCTGGAGGATCAGCAAGTGCCTTTTATTTCTGAGTCATGTCTTCAAGCTCTGGGTTTACATTTCTGGTATATACTTGTGATGTAATATAACCCTGTGTATTCTAGTTTTTGAATAGTGGAGTAAGCATAAATGATACTTATCTATGCTAAAAATCCTGTTAAATGAATTAGCACAAATACTGAAGAAAAGAATAGAGTTGAAATTAAGAGACTTAAATTTTCATGTGAATGAGTCATATGAGCAAAAATATATTCAAAATTAATGAAGAGCTAGAATATTTCTCTTTCTATTGAATACTTTCTTTGAAACACAAAATATTTCTCCGTGCCAACTTTTAGGAAAATTCAAGTAACATTAATGTTGCCTAATTCTTCTTTTTCATGATTGTAAATATTTCTCAAAAAAAATATCTCCACAAACTTTTGATTCTATGTGTTGTTTGGAACACTGGATATATACAATGATATTATATTCCTTAAATTCAAG